AGTCTAGAAGGGGAGGCCAGTGCAACACTGTAAAAGATGCTCAGGCCCATTTTGCCTGCAGTTGGGCATCCCAGGAAAGCAAGGCAGTAAAGTAGATCTGGGTTTTCAAAAGAAAAGGAGAGTGGCAGGTTGGTGGATGAACTGGAGCACCGAAAAAAGAAGAGCGTGTGTGTGCGTGTGCGTGCTTGTTTGTGTACGTGTGTGGGTGTTTTAATCAGACAAGTAAGGCAAGTGTCTGGAGGATAGTAGAAATGTTTGTGTGCACTAGAATCACTGATGTTGTGAAGTGGAAAAGAGGGAAAGAAAAAAGATTCTTCTAAAATATTTCTAGAGTACATGTCCTGGTAGGTGGTGATTGCCTCAACCAAGCCAGAGAGTACTGAGAACAGGTCTGAGGAGGAAGTGGTAGATGGGAGGTGGGAGTTTCCTTGCAGTTAAGTGAAAGCACGTGCCATGAGTCCTGAGTGGTTTGAGATGTCCTTCTGTAACACCAACGTTACATAGCAAGCAGATAGCTAAGACTGTGGTTCTAGACTTTGAAAGCAAGGAAAAGCGAGGGATCTAAATTCTGGCACCATCTAAATACAAGTTGACAGCTAGAGGTAGAGGTCCGTGGCACAGTACTTGTTTAGCAAGCATGAGGCCCTGGATTTAATCCCCAGCAGCAAACAGAAATCCTAAATTGAATTAAAATTCCTATGAAGGGGCACAGGAGCCTTTTTGGGGGGGTGATAGGAATGTTCTATATTTTTATTATGGCACTCCCATTTGGAGAGTTCTGCGCTGAAAGACATATTCCCTCAAAACACCTGCCTCTGCCCTCGGCCTATTCCATCCAAGCCAGGACCACATGGGTCAACTTCCCCACTTGGAGTAGCAAAGACAATAAATGTACTTGGAGAGTATAATATGACTCATCTTCGAACAAGAAATCCTTCCTTATTGATTGATTTTAGGCTCATGGCCAATTTGGCCTCCTCATTTGGCACCCTTCCTTCAGCATCACTTCTGAATTGTCCTTTCAGTTGTCAGCTTAAAATCTATTTTACACACAAAAAAACATTTCTGACAGAAAAAGGTGAAATCCAACACTTATATTTAGCTACAGTATGGACAAATCCACTGTGTACACGTTCACCAAATTTAGATATTTATATCAGAATCTCAGTTCTGTCATTTATGGAGTCTTCGTGACCTTGAAGAAAGTGAAGATAATAAAACCTACCTTTGCAGTGTGGAGTGAAATAATGTAAATGAAAATCCTCAGGAGGCACTGAGCAGATGCTCAGTAAACGGCAGACTTCTTGTCAAACCTGACTACTGTTTCTGAATTATTTGGTCTATGTAAGTTTCTTGAAAGTAAGAGCAGTCTTTCTTGGGTTTTGTATTCTCACCTTCACTAATTCAGAGCCATATATCTTCAGGAGACATTGAAGAATTATATTTAGGAAGTGAGCAGGTCAAGGATAAAGTTGAAAAAGATTTATGTAATAAATATGTAGATGAGGAGAGATTGTTCTAGGGAGATGAACAAAAGAAGGAATTTGATTCAGAGCTGGTAGCAAAGGTCTTTCTTTACATTTCCTTTCCCATTCACTTAAAAATTTTATTTTGCCAAAAAGAGGGGACAGAAGGTCTCATCTTGATGAATGTGGAGCTGCAAAAGTATCTGCCAATACACCTGGTATTGATTCATGCCAGCTGGGACAGGAGCTTGGCTTCTCAGTGTTTTACTACTGTGGTTTCCTAGGCTGGGCAGCTGGGTGCCTAATAATGATAAAACCCATAATAATACTTCATAATTACGTACAGTCCTCTGCCAGAACTTGGATTTAATTACAATGACTATGATGGAACTGGCAACATCCTGCTCCCTGTTGGGGTGCAAAACCCAAGGGCCTGGAAATACAAAGTGAAGCGGTAACTGCAACTTTCTCCTGCACAGCCTATCCTGGCAGTTGACCCAGAGTTCTCTGGGTTTGAAGCTCATCATCTGAGACAAAGAGTATCTTTAAATTGCCCACATGTACTTAGCACTGCAAAGTAAAGTAGTATTTATGAAGCAACTACTGCCACCCATGGGGCACAGGATCCTGGAATGCCAGGCCTGGACGCCAGCTCCCAACCCAGGTGATCTCATTCACGACCCTCTCCCCTCTAAGAATCACTGCCACTACAGTCAGGTTGATTAGTTCACTGGCTTTCCCGCTCCAACTCAGGCTGGACATGCCTATACGATAGCCTGATCTAGTGTCAAGGAACTCAGCAATTCATTTCACACTCATTTGTGAGTACCTACCCTGAGCCAAGGCACTGCAGGGCCACACAGCCGTGGAAGATATGATCCCTGACCCCAACGTTTACCATCTAGCTGTGGGATTTGCGTTTAGGCAGCTGCAGTGAGAAAGCATGAAGAGAAAGGAAAGTCCAAGTAGATGAAAGGGAACGAAAGAAGTCCAGGTGAAAGCCTCAGAGCAATTTCCTCTTTAAAAAGCAGGAGAATGAGAGGAGGGGCAGGGAGATGGTGGTGAAGAGCTGGGCAGCAACTTGGAGGTTCTGAGTGGTTTTGTGTTTATTGTCTTCATTAATACCACCTCTGATTTGTCTTGTTTTTTAGTTTATTCATAGATTATTTGTCTCTCCCACTTCAGCAACTCCGTCATTTTATTCACCATTATATCCCAAGCGTATCAAACAACACCTGGCACGGACTAAATATTGGCTAATGAATAAATGACAGAAAGAGGTGGTGGCGTGGGCAAAGGGCTCTTAATATAGATAATCACAATAAAATGAGGATGAGGTGTTAGCTTTTTATCATGGTAACAAATACTTGTGATAACTACCTTATTAAGAGAAAAGGTTTATTTTCATTTACAATTTTGGATGCTCCAGTTTACGATAGGGTGGATCTATTACTTTTAGGACTTCATGGGGTGTAGAGGGTCTCATGTTGTGAGTCTGATGTGGAGTAAACTTGCTCATAGCAAGTCAAAGAGAAAAAGGGAAAAAGACTAGGTCCCATAATCCCCTTTGAGGGTATACCCTCAATAACTTAAAATCTCCCACAATGTCCCACCTTTAAAGGGGTCACTATCTCTCAATACTACCAAGCTGGGAACCAAATCTTTAGCACCTGGGCCCCCAGGGAACATTCCAGATCCAAACTACAGCAGATAAAGAGATATTGGAGCATCGAGGAAGTAGATACAGGATTATTCCCAGTTTCGGCATTGGATAAGTGAGTAGATGGTACTATTATCAAATAAGGTAAGAGTAGAGAAGGAATAGATTATGTGGACTTTGGAGGGTACAAGGAATTGCAACTTGGATACATTTAGTTGGTAGATAAGCCAGCTGTCCAGAGGCACTTATATGTGCAGATCTGGACCTCATTAAGTGTACATTCAGCTGTTGGGACATCAGAATGCTTAGATCACCTAGTATGCACCAGAGGATTATATATCTCCTGAGGATCAGATCCTGAGGCTCTTTCAAGGAGTCAACAGAAGACCATGTGAGGGTGTATGGTGTCAGCAAAGGTGGGGCAAGGGGTAAAAGAAAAACCTTCAAGAATGTAGTTCATTCACAAAACTCACTCCAAGAGAACAAGTAAGATTAAGGACTACAAAGTGACCTTTGAACTTGGTCATAGGGATGTCACTGGTATCCATCAGAGGTGCCCTTTCAATGGCCTAGAGGGAGACTGGACTGTACGCAAGCGTTTGTTAGCTTACGCTTTGGAACGTGACTATGTCTAACAGTAAAAAGTGGCCGGTGAATTTGTGAGGCGACCACGTTTCTAGAAGGCCAGAGGGCAAGTCCGGCAGGTGTCACGATCCCTCGCTTCTCCTCCTCTACCCTTTCAGCCATTTGTAGGGCGGGGGCCCTTCACGTAAAGGGCAGGCAACCCGAGGGACACGAAACACCCCTTCCTCAGATCCATGAGTCATCTTGTGGCAGTTGGAAGCGGGGAGGGGAAGACTTGAATTAAATGAGGTGCTGGGTTTCCGATGATCTTGGAATTTAGTGACACGGTAGCTCCATGCTGGAGGCAGCTAGGGAGACTCATTCACATTTTCCTACCCAGCACTCACGCCTTCCATTCAACATTTTCCTCTCCTCTTCCAGGAGTTGAAAGCAGGGACAATGCGTTCTCGGGGATCCTACCTCAGGCTGACCTTCCAACCCTAAGCCCACCCGCAGACCTCCTGGTGCCACGTGACCCTCCTCAGCCCCCGTGACTCGCCGCCAGCGCTCCCGCCCCTCGGGCCGCAGCCTGCTTCGCCCCGCCCCTCAAGCCCACGTGACCGCCTCTCTCCCACCTGACTGGCTCCTCCC